GCTGCAATAAATGAGCATCTGAAGGAAAAGTTAATCCAGCTCCAGGCATACCATAACCATCCCTTCATGGAACCCAAAATGAACCATGTGAACCTGGATTTCTGATCCACGAGACAGGTGAGCAATTTTTTCCAAAATTGAGTTGAGGGGAGAACTTTCACCTTGAGTCTTAAATCCCTTTCAGGGTTAGGGGTATATGTTGCTCAGTGCCAGAGTGCTTGGCTAGAATGCCCAAGGCCCCTGGGTTCCATCCCCAGCACCGAAAAACAAAACAAATCAAATAAATAAGTAAAAACAAAATTCCCTTTTGAGCTGAAAGGAAATAAAACCCATACTTCTTGTTGAGGGTAGTCAGAAAAGAAAGTATATGTAATTAGGTCAGAGCAATGTATTTTCTTTACAAATATTTTTTACACTTTCTCACACCTCAAAGACTCCTACTGCCTACATACAATTCATGACTTCAGAGGCAGGTATTTTTAGAAAAATAATGCTCTGGGTGATTGGGGAGAGAGGTCCCCTGAATGAGGTTTAAAAGAATTCGTTTCTGCTTTCCATTGAGAAAGCACCTACATCTGTGCTCCCTGGAGGGCTTTATGCTAAACTTCATTCTTTGTAGCCCTGTTGCATATATTTAAGCAGTTAGGGACTCTAAATGTGAGATGGAATCAGAGTTAAACTCAAAAATGAAATTCAAGGACAATTCACATGTCAGAGCATCATCACTGAGAAGACCATGGCAATGCTAATTTGGGTGTTGCTTGCATGATGCTTTCTATTATCTATGCCAGAGATCAGTGCTAGGGAAAGCAGAGCATGTCCTATATAAATTACAAGTGTCTTGGCCTCTCTGTACCTTAGTTTCCTCATTTGAAAAGAATGAATGGATCTTAAGACATACTTCTTAAGACAGCTAACCAATAACTGTATAATGTTTTTAACACATAGTTTTGGGGTTTTTTTTGTACATGCGTGTATCTTCTATTTCACTTACAACTTGTGTAAAAACTGCAGTCCATGCCATGCCTGAAATGTTCCAAAGCTCAGTTCTGTCAGTAAATTGCAACCAAGGTTTCTACAAAAAAGATAAGCCAAAGAAGAAGGAGAAGAAAAAAGATATTCTTTCAGAACATTTATCATTTGGCAGTGATTCTAACTTATATATGATTAAATGTAATCTCAATACTTTTTCCACACACTAAAGAAATCTTGCTGTGGAAGATCCTGACTTATGACTTATATTTCTGCGTTTATACATGCAGAGCCTTAGCTATAAAACAGTGAATGCTCAAAAAATACTTGTGATATTTACTTCTCTAAAACAGGGCTTCACAACTTCAATGCTATTGACATTTTGGGCTGGAAAATTCTTGCTGTGGAGTTTTGTCCTGTATATTGTAGATGTTTAACAGCATCCCTGGTGTCTGGCCACTAGATGCCAAAACTCACTCACTCTCTCCTCTCTCCTCTCTCTTAAAAAAAAAAAAAAAAGTCACCTTTAAAAAAGTGGTGTTGTCACGCCTACCTGAGCCAAGGTGGGAAGGAGATGTTTTCCCATGCCAGTGTAAAGGGCTGTCCACACGGATTCACACCCCTTTCTCAGACTGAATTGCCCACTGCCTAAAACCCCTCCTACAGAAATTTCGGAGTCATCACTGATTTCAATGGTAGCCCCAGCCTAACAGAGTGATGAATTAATTATCAAACATGAAATAGGATAGAGAGTTTAGAGCAAATGGCAACATTTTGGAATAAATAACCTTAATGTGTAGTCTGCCTGTTAACCTAACTGGCCCTCATTTTACAGGTCACTTGCTTCTCTTGGAAGCAGTATAGCCAAGGGGAGGAAGAATATCTCTGGGATTTCAGCCTGGAAGAGGAAGAATTCAGGCCGCCAGAACTGGACTAGCACTACTGAATATCCCCAGAGGCTCAGTCCTGTGACTTCCTTGGGAATCTCTGCCGCCCCCCACCCAATGGGCTGCTAGAGTCCTGGTGCCACCCACATCTAGGGCCCAGATCCTGCTTCGATGTAGGGGAGGGGGCCTGTGGGGGTCGATTGTGGCCCCTGCTTGGGGAAGGGAAGCTTGGGTTGGTTGATTGTGGGAAAAGGCTCCCGGTCTGAGCGAGCCTAATAAAGGTTGAGCCTAATAAAGGTGTCATAATCAAAGGTGTCATAAATAAAGGGTGGGGCGGGGCCACTGAGGTTTCCCAGGCTCGCCTCAAGGGGCTGCCATAACGGTTAGGCTCCCACAGGCGGTTAGGCTCCCACAGGCGCGCCCCGCGCCCCATTGGCCTAGGTCGCTGTGCCCCGAAGCCTCCGCACGTCATGTCCCTGCTGCGCCTCTGGGCACCAGGGCTTCTCCTCACGTGGCAACCATTGTGGCTGCTGGTCCAGGCAGCTCAGCCTCTGGAGTCGCCCCAGGACCCTCTCCAGCTGACCGCTGAGCACCCAGGGCCTATCAAGCCCTGGTCTCTGCTCTCCTCTGAACTCCCACCCTTATCGCCCCATGCGCTTACACCCCCGGCAGACCCGGGAGTCTTTGATGACCTGGGGTCCTCTGCTCGCTCCCAGATGTTGGACTCACCACGGAAGTTAACTGACAGTTTGCTTCCATTCTTGGGCAGGGTTTCACCTGGAGAGCCGGCCCCAGAGATGGATCAGTTTGCTGCATCAAGACAAACTAATTCCGAAAGAGAGGCTCCCAGAATTGGTTCCAATGCTCGACTCAAAAGTAAGATTCATACTGTCAATCTGCATCAGTCTACAGATCACCAGTCATTTGAAGTACTTGTTCCACCTCTAGATAGAGTGCAAAAGCAGCAAAGTTTATTGTTTCACCACTGAATCTGAAGAAGGATGTAGCTCAGCATCCGAGATTTGCTAAAGTTGTTGGTGGAACTCCAAAGCAATTTGCAAAACTTCAGCTTCAGAACAACTTGCAGGATGATTATGTGTATCCAAGTACAGATGTAGCTTCTTCTGGCAACCTACCTCCGGAATCCCAGGAGAACTCAGAGGAGTCTCCAGAAACTCCTGACCAGGTTGAACCTTCTGTGGAGGCCCAAGAGACTCCTGAGGAGCTCCAGTCCTCTTCGTCCCAGCAAGAAGTTCCTGAGGACCAGGAGGCTCTAGGAGGTGAAGCATCAATGCATCATAAGCTTTCATCTCTAAGAAGTGACACTCAGCCGGTTGTCACAAGTAAACCTGCAGATCTGGTTACCGTAACTCCGCAGGCAGATAAAGAGATTCACCTTCCTTCAGGCCAGGAGCAGGCCCCAACCCAGCCTTCAGAGGGTCTTGAAGTAGTAGGACCTTCATCAACCCAAAAAGAGGCTCCAGCTCAGACTTCAGAGCTCTCTGAACCCTCTTTAGCTGAGCAAGAGACTCCAGTTCAAGCTCCCAAGTCCCCTATGGAGAATATAGCTGAAACTCTACCAACTCTACCTGTAGTTCCATCTCTAGGTCAGGATCAAGTTCATTATTATAACTTGCCCAGTGTTACAGGTAGGCCTGCAGACGTGGAAATTACCATAACTTCGGAACCTACCAAGGAGGCCGAATCTTCTCTAGCCCAGCAGGAGGCCCCAGTTCAGCCAGAGGCCCCAGTTCAGGAGGCTCCAGTTCAGGAGGCCCCAGTTCAGCCAGAGGCTCCAGTTCAGGAGGCCCCAGTTCAGCCAGAGGCTCCAGTTCAGGAGGCCCCAGTTCAGCCAGAGGCCCCAGTTCAGGAGGCCCCAGTTCAGGAGGCCCCAGTTCAGCCTCCAGAGTATGTGGAGGAGGTAGAACCTTCTCTGACCCAGCAAGAGACCCCAGCTCAGCCTCCGGGCCCTCCTGTGGAGACTGAACCTTCTCTCAGTGAGCAAGAGACCTCAACTGAGCCTTCTGAGTCTCCTGGGGAGGACCAGTCTTCTGAAAGCCAGCTGGAAGTACCAGTGCAATCTCTAGACTTGCCCAGTGTGACCGGTGAACCTGCAGATGTACTAATGACTATAACACCTGAACCCACTACAGAGGTGGGAACTTCTATGATCAATGGTGAGGCTATAGTTCCTCCCTCAATTCCAACTAATGAGTCAGGACCTTCTGCATCCCAGCCTGAAGCCCCAACTGTGCCTCCAGAGCTCCCTAACGATGTAGGTCAATCTCCAGAAGGTGAGGATGTGACAGGTTCTTCTCTAGGTTCTGATCAAGCTGAGTCTCCTACTCCAGAATTGAATAGTGAGGTTGAAACTTCAGCGCAACAGGAGACCCTAGATGAGTCCTCAGTGTCCCCTGAGCAGTTGGAACCTCAGCCAAGCCCCCCTCTAGAGGAGGAACAACCTCCAATTGATCAAGAGGTCCCCAGTCAGCTTGAAGAGCTGCCTGAGGAATCTTTATCAAGTCAGCAGGAGAGCTCATCTCTGCCCTCAACGCCCCCCGTGAGTGTTGAACTTCCACCAGTCCAGGAAACACTCCCAACTAAACCTCCAGAATCCACATTTGTCCCGACTATTGCTTCCTTCAGTGATTCCATGTCATTTTCACCTCAAGATCTAGAAGTAATGTTCAGAAGTGGGTCTTCAAATTTGCCTAAAACCACAGTTCAACATGAGGCTCTGATAGTTACTGTACCTTCAGAAGCCACTAAAGAAGTTGAGCCAGTTTCCACCCAGCAAGTTACATTTTATCCAACCCAGTCGAATGCCCCTTCCCAGTCTCCAGGATTCCCTGAAAACTTTGGATTTTCTTCAGCCCAACAAGCAACCACAACTCAGATGGAAACTTCAACTGAGGTCCTAAGTCAGAATCAAGCTCAGGATTTAACATCACCCAGTGTTACATTTCAACCTTTGGACCTGGAACTCACCTCGACTCCAAAACCCACTAAACGTTCTAGGGCGAAGAAGAAGCCTGTAGCTCTTTCATCGTTCCCTATAGCTATATGGAACTATATCTATCTCCAGAAGGTGAGGATGTGACAGGTTCTTCTCTAGGTTCTGATCAAGCTGAGTCTCCTACTCCCAGGGTGATAACAAAGAGCATGAGGAGACAAGTGAGGTGAGGGAAACTATTGAACAAGAAGCCCAGACTTTTTCATCATTTAGGGTATACAATTGAAGCATTCAAGCGGGAAGACCAGGGGCTTCTAGTCCACATCTTGTCTTGGCCACATAACTTTGCCCAAGACAGTGATCCCCATTTTGTTCCATTAGAGAATAAAGTGGACTTAACACACAAGATAAACAAATAATAGGAAGAAAAATGTGTGATAATAAGATGTAACATATTAAATTTGGTGTGTTCTTTAAGAAACTGCAAGCTATTCACCTGGAAGAATGGAAATTTTGAATAGTTAACATTCTTTTTCTTTCTTTTAGCTCACAAAAGGAGTCCCGGGATATGGTTATAACAACAAACTCATCTTGACAATATCTGTGACTGTAGTGGCGATGATTTTGATTATAATTTTCTGTGTGATTCAGGTAAGGACAACAATCAATTCAGGTTTCCAGAATACATCTTATCATTGTAATAGATTTAGAACGTATACCCTGAAAATCAAAGTTCCTTCCCCACGTACTACTTGACATTTCTCTTCAGTCACTAACACTGAGTTATGCTTTGTTCTTTTATTGAAAAATATATTCTAGGGATTTTTATTTATTTTTTTTTATTTTACTTTTTGGTACCAGGGATTGAACCCAGGGGTGTTTGAACATTGAGCCACATCTCCAGCCCTTTTTTGTATTTTACTTAGAGACAGGGTCTCACTGAGTTGCTTAGTACCTCGATAAATTGATGAGGCTGGCTTTGAACTCACAATCCTTTTGCCTCAGCCTCCCAAGCAGCTGGGATTATAAGTGTGCTTCACAGTGCCCAGCCCCAGAGACTTTTAAAGGAACTTCATTTCCAGGGAATCTTTGAGAAATTGAAACCAAGAGAACAAGCTATAATTTCTTAAGAAATTAAGACTAATATGGCCAGAGATGTCATCGTAGCAAAATTTGTCCAACCCAAAACCATGTCCACAATTTGTTACTCTCATTTTTGTAAAGTTTTGATGTACTTTCATTCTACCACTGATTTCTTTCCTTGTTACTGAAATGACAAGAAATGACTTCACTCTCAAGCAGCAGTCATCACCCTGGGGTAAAAGGAGAGGGCTAAAAGATAAAAGTGCTATATGTAGACTCAGTGGATCCACACAGCTTCCTCCTCCTCCAGTGTGAGGTATTGTCTAAGTAGGTGTTCAGGTAAAGCACTGCAGCTAAATTCTCATCAGGCTACTCCAGAGCAGGTCCTAGTGATAATAGTATATTCCTGGCTCTGGCTTCTGTTTACCTTCTGTTTGCTTACATGATGGTTTATTACTTTTCTCAATAGGTTGTCAATGGACATTTATTTATTTATTTATTTATTTATTTGTTTGTTTGTTTGTATGTGTTGCTGAGAATCTAACACAGTGCCAGTACTAACATCACACCACTTAATTCCAGTTGCTTTATAACATATTTCAAGCTATATATTTGGTAGGGCAAGCTCCTGCTCTCCTGATCATTTCGTACATTTCATCACTATTCTTATATATTTTCTCTGCCAAAAGAAAAACAAAATAAAAACAAAAACAAACAAACAAAAAAAAACTGTCTTTGAATTTGAATAGGACTAGATTGAATTTGAAAATGAATTTGCGAATTAACATCTCTACAACATTCTGGGAACATGTAATCTCATGCCATATATTCATTTCTTCTTAATGTGCATTTATTTATTTATTTATTTATTTATTGTGGTGCTAGGGATTGAACTCAGGGGCACTCCACCACCGAGCTGCACTCCCAGTCTTTTTTATTTTTATTTTTTAGAAGGAAGCATTTCCTTCCATATTTATTTTTATGCGGTAAACCAAGTGCCTCACGCATGGTAGGCAAGTGCTCTACCACTGAGCTACAATAAAAAAAATTTAAAAAATATTTTTTATTTTAAGACAGGGTATTTCAAAGTTACCCAGGCTGGCCTTAAACTTGATCTTTTTGCCTTAATATCTACTGCTGGGAATATAAGTGTGTGCCACCACATCCAGCTGAATTTTAGTATTTTCACTACATAGATTTTTTAATTGGATCGTTTTAGTTATACATGACAGTAGAATCCATTTTGATATATAGTTTCAGTTCCTTTCCCCATTTATGCCCTCATTTATTTTTCATACTGCATTGATTAAGACCTCCTCAATGAGGTTGAACAGCAGCAATAACAGGCATCCTCCTACTCTTATTCTTGATTTTAAAACGACACTGTTGTTTAAAGTTCTGGCAGACATGTTTATCAAGTTAAGTAGTTCTTTCTTTTTCTACTATTAAGTGTTTTTATTAGGAATTATCTGTTGGATTTTATCTAAAACAGTCAATAAAATATATTAAGTGCCAGCTGCATGCAAGACCCTAAGCTAGGTACTATGAAAGAGTCAGAGAACCATTAAAAGGATAGAATTCCTGCCCTCAGAAAAGTTATTATCTCACTGGGTAGATAAGACTTAAAATAAATATAAGGAATGAATAGAGACTTGGAGATTAGTGGTCATTGTGATACTTATGACTGTATTTTCTTCCAAAACAGATTTATTCCCATAAAACAGCACCACAAGATGATGAAGAAAAGTCCTTAAGGTAACTATGAGCCTGGCAGTGTTTAAATGAGAATTTTATTTTATTTTTAATATTTATTTTTTAGTTGGACACAATATCTTTATTTATTTTTACATGGTGCTGAGGATCGAACCCAGGATCGCACATGCTAGGCGAGCGCTCTACCGCTGAGCCACAACCCCAGCCCCTAAATGAGAATTTTAGAACTCATCTATTTCAATCTTAACAGTGAGGAAACTGCTAAAGGCACGAAGAATACTTCCTCTCATGTCTCCCCTGGCTCCAGGAAAACTAGTTTCCCAGCCTGCTGAGGTCAAAGGCACTAGCAGGGATGCATCTGCTGTCTCCAGTCCTTAAGGAAAGAGAGTGGAGGGCAAGAGGTTTGGGCTGTGCCTGCTCCCACTGTTCACGTGCATCAGACTCAGCTGGAGCCCTTCTTTGAGGCTTTCAGGGACAGGGAAGACCTTGGGTCATTAGCGTGCTGTGCTATTCCCCTTCCAGGCTGGCGGAAGTAGAAGTAGAATGTATGAGTCCTTCCTCCAGGTGGTAGGAAAACTTTACCTTCTTGCCTTACTGGTCACCTTCTCACCCCCACTCTCTATTCCTTTTACCTAGATTTCATAGAATTTTAACAGGGAGCTTAGAAATAGTAGTTTGTCTCTTCCTTTTATAATAAGAAACGGAGAATAAGAAAGGGAAAATATCTTACCCTGTGATCACAGTTAGTGTCAGAAAATGGTTCCTTTCCAGCTAGGTACTTCTCCATTAATTATACCCACACTTGGGCTGTGAGCAACATTTGATATTGTGAATTAGTAGACACATTTCAATGTAAACATCAGCAATGTTTGAAACAATGCACAGGTTTTTTTTCCTATTGTTTTTTTGTTATGTATATGTCTAAACTGATTTTACAACTCAATCATAAGTGACAGCCTGCAATATGGAAATCAGTGAGCTAGACAACTTTACTAATTGGACTTTGGTATTTACTTGATGTAATACAACTTGTAGGATAAAGCAGCTAGGAAATAGAAACACCTTCTACCTCAAGAGCCACCCTGCTCCCCACCCCAAAATGATGATACATGTTGAGATTTAAGTCCAAAGAGGACTGATGTGAAAGGCTCTGGAGAGAGTAAAACACTTCAGCCCAGTATGGTTGTGTACTGTACAAGGTACTTAGCCAAGAGGGTAAGCAGAGTTGCTAATCCTGCCTATGCTCATGTGGCTCTTTGGGAACATACATAGAGAGTTCTGGTAGCCCAGCATGCAGGGAATTGTTTTTAGGACCCCAGGTCTAGCATGATTTTGCTCATTGTGCTTATGAACTAAGGTATAGGCTTTGTCCTAAAAAGACCAAAGGTGCACATTACAAAAAGACATGAAAAATGGCATCCATCACTAATTGTCTTGTGCATGTGTTTCCCCCCAGGAGCTGTTTCGGGTTTCTGCGTAGGAGAAGCTCAACGGAAAGTGAAAATCAGGTAAATCTGAAGAGAACCCAGTGCTGTGGCCAGGGAAGGCAGCGGGAAGCAGAATTAATGTTCCACTTTCTGTTTTTAGTTGGACACAATATCTTTATTTATTTTTACATGGTGCTGAGGATCGAACCCAGGATCGCACATGCTAGGCGAGCGCTCTACCGCTGAGCCACAACCCCAGCCCCTAAATGAGAATTTTAGAACTCATCTATTTCAATCTTAACAGTGAGGAAACTGCTAAAGGCACGAAGAATACTTCCTCTCATGTCTCCCCTGGCTCCAGGAAAACTAGTTTCCCAGCCTGCTGAGGTCAAAGGCACTAGCAGGGATGCATCTGCTGTCTCCAGTCCTTAAGGAAAGAGAGTGGAGGGCAAGAGGTTTGGGCTGTGCCTGCTCCCACTGTTCACGTGCATCAGACTCAGCTGGAGCCCTTCTTTGAGGCTTTCAGGGACAGGGAAGACCTTGGGTCATTAGCGTGCTGTGCTATTCCCCTTCCAGGCTGGCGGAAGTAGAAGTAGAATGTATGAGTCCTTCCTCCAGGTGGTAGGAAAACTTTACCTTCTTGCCTTACTGGTCACCTTCTCACCCCCACTCTCTATTCCTTTTACCTAGATTTCATAGAATTTTAACAGGGAGCTTAGAAATAGTAGTTTGTCTCTTCCTTTTATAATAAGAAACGGAGAATAAGAAAGGGAAAATATCTTACCCTGTGATCACAGTTAGTGTCAGAAAATGGTTCCTTTCCAGCTAGGTACTTCTCCATTAATTATACCCACACTTGGGCTGTGAGCAACATTTGATATTGTGAATTAGTAGACACATTTCAATGTAAACATCAGCAATGTTTGAAACAATGCACAGGTTTTTTTTCCTATTGTTTTTTTGTTATGTATATGTCTAAACTGATTTTACAACTCAATCATAAGTGACAGCCTGCAATATGGAAATCAGTGAGCTAGACAACTTTACTAATTGGACTTTGGTATTTACTTGATGTAATACAACTTGTAGGATAAAGCAGCTAGGAAATAGAAACACCTTCTACCTCAAGAGCCACCCTGCTCCCCACCCCAAAATGATGATACATGTTGAGATTTAAGTCCAAAGAGGACTGATGTGAAAGGCTCTGGAGAGAGTAAAACACTTCAGCCCAGTATGGTTGTGTACTGTACAAGGTACTTAGCCAAGAGGGTAAGCAGAGTTGCTAATCCTGCCTATGCTCATGTGGCTCTTTGGGAACATACATAGAGAGTTCTGGTAGCCCAGCATGCAGGGAATTGTTTTTAGGACCCCAGGTCTAGCATGATTTTGCTCATTGTGCTTATGAACTAAGGTATAGGCTTTGTCCTAAAAAGACCAAAGGTGCACATTACAAAAAGACATGAAAAATGGCATCCATCACTAATTGTCTTGTGCATGTGTTTCCCCCCAGGAGCTGTTTCGGGTTTCTGTGTAGGAGAAGCTCAACGGAAAGTGAAAATCAGGTAAATCTGAAGAGAACCCAGTGCTGTGGCCAGGGAAGGCAGCGGGAAGCAGAATTAATGTTCCACTTTCTGTTTTCTAGGAGGGCTTTTTCTGGTAAAGGTGGCCACTTTGGCTTAGAGATACGTACAGACCTCTCAATGCCACACGTAAGAAAAACATGGCACAGATGATGAGGATGAGATTTTCAATAAGGATGCTAGGTAAGTGACTGGGGGTGATATAAAATTCTCAAGTGAAGAGGTAAGGAAAAGCTTAATTGCTCCTTTCAAGAGTAACAACCTTGGCTTTGTTCTTCTCCCAGGGATAAAGCCCCATCACAGACCTCTGCTCCTACTGAGGGCGGCGGAGAGTAAATCTGTCTTGCCTCAAGCGACTGGCAAATTTTATTTTCTAATATTGGCTTCTCATCAGTGCTTATAAAATACTTTTTTTTCTCATATTAAACGGTGCAAAATTCACAACCAATCCTAGCCATGTGGTAAAAAGTAACATGTAAATAGTTAAATATGTGTATATAAACAACAAGGGCATAGGCAAGTAGAGCTGGTCTAGAGCTAGAATCCTCTATGGCAGCCATGCTTCTGTAAGAGGCAGTGTGTGCAGAGTTGGAAAGAGCTTCTAGGCCTCATGCCCCAGTGTAAATAATCATCTTTCAGAGGGCCAGAAAACACATCATCTTCCAGGAGTGTGGATTTCTAAATAAAATACCAGTTATTCTGGTGCGCTCTTTCTGGTTCAAGAACCAATCATTTGAAACTTAGTTGACCTCATGCCCATGAAGATCTTCCACCTTCTGGCCCCTCTCATCAGGTATTGGGGTTGCCAGAATATTTGAATCATTGAACTTGCTGCACTGTGGGGCCAAGCTGTGCTTTTCTTACCAAGCCTTCAAATCATGTGCAAACATATACCCTGTCTTCGTAGGGGATTCTCCACCCTTTAAAAGCTGGTAGAAAATTAATATTGGTTTAGTGGTTTTTCATTTTTAAAATGTTGACCCTTGGACATCTAGCAGGATAGGGTAAAGAACATGCTAGAGCAGTAATTTCCCTAGATTTTCCTCCTTGAGCTTTTATTTTGGAAAACATGTATAAAGCTACTTCTCCATTCATATGGACTGCATCAGCCTCTCCTGACCCCACTTAGGGTCACATGTGTACTCAGCTCCCTTCAACTCCATCCAACCCCAAACCTACCCACTTCCGGCCTCATCCAGCACCATCCACAACTACAGGATTACAAGTGATAATTTGCAAAAGATGCAAGCATTTCTCCACTCCCATCTTTAGCAACAAAGTTGGTAATAAATCACATTTAGTGATACCTGTGTTGAGAATCAAGTTTGAATCCTGTTCCCCCAGTGTTGAAGACTGAACACCCAAGAAACTCCAAGGCAAGCACAAAAAGTTTTATTTAAAGAATAGAACAGAGAGAGAGAGGGACAGAGGCTTCTCTGCAGAGGTGGGGGTCCAAGTTGGTGCCTGTTAGCACAAAAAGACCAGGCCAGAAGCAAACTTAAGGGATCATCTCAGCCTTTTATTCAAGAAAACAAACAACTACAAGGCTGGAAGAGGAAAAGCGAACCCCTGGGCTTCAGGTCTTCAGGATTGTGTTGAACACATGAGACTGCCCAGAGAAACCTCAAGGTGATCACGTGGTATTAGGTGCCTTCAAAATACGTGTGTATTCCCGGCTCTTAAAAGCCAGGAGGAAGGCTCCAATTTGAGCCCAGGCTCTACCCACTGGGTTGGACTGATGCCTTCGGGAGGCAAAGGAAGAGTAGGTATTAAGAGTGGGTATTATTGGTACTACTCAAGTGGACTGTCGTCGGCTTTGTGAGGCTAAGTCACTACCCCAGAGTCGCTCAGTTGATGCCGATCGAGCCAACGGGCAGTAGGTACTCCAGCCCTCCCGGTGATCCCAGAGATCTTGGTTGCCTCGAGACAGTCCGGCTTCGGAGCCCTCTGCCCTCCCAGCCCGCACCGGGCTCCCACCGTAGCCTTCGGTCCGCGCTGCCACCGCTGGCCTGTTCCGTCCATTTTCTCCTACCCGTGACCCAACCTCAGCTCTTGCTCCCATCTTCTTACCACCGGTCTTGCATAAATGCAGCCTCACTCGTGACCTCTCTTTAACCTAGTTGCAACTCCGATCTGGATGTATCCCTTACCTCCTTTTTATCTAATCCTCACCCCACAACCCCCCTGGCAATCCTAATACTCCGCACAAACCTCCCCTAAATTCACCATTCATGTTTCCCCTTTTCTGGCTCAGCTCTCTCATCCCCAGCTCCCAATGTCTACCCAGCCCCCTAAGGTCTGTTTATCCCAAACGTCTACCTCTCTCCTCCTCTCATGCCCTGTTGAGCTCACCCGCTTTGTGTTAACTCCTCTTTCAGCCTTCTCCCAAATTTTATGTGTAGCTTCTTCACAGACTTTGCCCTTACCTTCCTAGCTCATTATGTATTTCTTTTCCCTCCTCTACCATCGCGAGGAAACCCCATTCCTAAGTCTTTATCTGTCCCCATCTCTAGTTGCCTCAGTTCCTATCACCCTCTTCCTTTTTATTAACAGAGATCCTCCATGTCCTTTCACCTTTTGTCCCCGTAGCAACTCTTCACATCAACTCTGCCCATTCTTCCCTTGACAGCTCCCATTCAGCCTGAAATTGTAGTGCAGAGCTCCCTGCCAACCCCACCAGCTAACCCTGAACAGTCAAGTCTAGGTGCTTGCTCAGAGGTGAGCAGCTTGATAGACCATGCAGCTTGTTTGGTTAATGAGTGCAGGGGAGTAGAGTTCCTCTACTCTTGGGTCAGAGATTTTTCCTGGTGTCTGGTCCTTTTATTATTATTATTATTATTTATTTTTTAGTGGTACACAATACCTTTATTTTGTTTATTTATTTTTATGTGGTGCTGAGGATCGAACCCAGGGCCTTGCCCGTGCTAGGCGGGCGCTCTACCACTGAGCCACAACCCCAACCCTGATGTCTGGTCCTTATACCTGTCCCCAGGGATTGTTTTTTCACCGTTCATATTATATTACTTGTGTTGACTGTTGGAATGGTAGGTGTCACTGAAATTCCTGCAAGGTGAGAGATGGTCCCTCACCCAGCTCACTCACCCTGGGGCAGATGAAGCCCTTGCTTCCTTTTGACTGGTATTCTGGCTCTGGAGAACCTCAGGGAATGCCAGTGGGGTTGGCTGTAATTACAGAGCCATGGCCATGTGTCTTGTCCTGGCACTTGTGGAGGATCCTGTCCCAGTGCTCCTTGCCAGAGCTGATGGCAGATCAGTTCCAGCACTAAACACAGGGATCACATGGTGTCAGAGGCATGTTACATGTGAACAGTAGAGGTGGTGGGTCCTGAGGAAGCTGAAGTGTAGGTGGGTGCAGAAGCTGTTGAATTGCTTCCTCTTTTCTGTGCTGGGTCATTGAATTTTAGCCATTTGGGTTTCATGAACACAGGAAGCCACATTATCTCACAGTAACTGAGGCAGAGGGATGTTTCTGAGGCACCTAGGGCTCATGCTCAGTGGTTAGTTTCCTGGGGACTTTTTGATGTACATTTCCTCTGAATTCTGATGACCTGGTTTCAGAAGGGTTAGCCATTTGATGGCAGTTTGTTTATTTTTTTTGGTGCTGAGATCTAATCCAGGGCCTTGCACATGCTTACACTGAGCTACACCCCAAGCCCTGGCAGGATTTATAGGGCCCCCAAGAGGACCCATTGTCTTTGCTTGTCACTATGGTCTTTTCTTTTGAAAACTGAATACACTGCTACCTTCAATATCCTGCCATTAAGATGTGACTTACATGAATGGCTTTCACCCTTACTGGCAGCTTTGTTTAATGGCGGGAGTTCCACAGTACCCCTACCACTTCAGAATGGTGTACCTCAGTTTTCCACAGTCTTAAAAATGAATCTACCTGCACTATGCCCTGTTTTAATTTTATTCATCAAGTCATTCAACAAGCATTTTCCAAGTACTACTGTGTGCTAAGCACAGTTCTAGGTATAGAAATGCAATGTGAATGACTCAGGCAGAGTTACTATTTTCTTTCATTCAGAGTTTGTTCCTTGTCAGGCATGGTGGTACACACCAGTGACTTGGGAGGCTGAGTCAGGAGTATTGCAAGTTTGAGGCCAGCCTGGGCAACTTGGTGAGACTGTCATAAAAATCAAAAGGTCTGGGGATGTAGCTCAGTGGTAAAGTGCTCTTGGATTCAAGCTCCAGTAAACAAACAACAAAACCAGAATTTACACTTTGTTAGAATTCTACAGCACATGGGACAAGAATATGGGGAAATAGTTGTTTTTGGATGGAAAGAAGGAGGGAGGAAAGAAAGATATTCAGTGTTTACCATTTTCACAATTCTGCCTTTGCCCACTAATCCTTGGTCCAAGAATTACAAGCTAGAAATTTCTCACCCTCCAGTGTATTTTTTCTTCTTCTTTTCTTTTTTTTAACTGGAAATTGAACCCTGGGGCACTTAACCACTGAGTCACACCCCCAGCCCTTTCTATTTTTATTTTGAGACAGGGTCTCACCTAGTTGCTTAAGGCCTCGCCAAATTGCTGAGGCTGGCCTCAAACTTGTGATCCTCCTGCCTCAGCCCGGGATTACAGTGGTGTACCACCACACACTGCCTCATCCTCCAGCAAATTTCATTTGAAATTATTGTTCTGAAGGACTTATCCTCTCCCTCCACCCCACCCCATCCAGGAAGGACACTGGTCCAGAAATCCACCTTGCTTCATATAGAAGGAGATGCTGTTTACTCATTCAGCACTCACATGTCTGAAAGATCAGCTGCCTTTCCGAATCAGAAGATAACTTTGTCATTCTTTTCCCAGTGAAATAACATGACTCATCAGTTAGTACAGCAGTTAGATGGCATAAACACCAGTCTGTTGTTCTGAACAACCATGGTAAGATTCAGACAGTAGACAGAAGGCTGTTAGGAGAGGCTGAGAATTCTCTGAAGAGAATAGGTTGCTGTTTACTGATGGGTTGAATGTTTTGAGAGTGGTAACGTCAGCTTATCCATTTCTTCATTTAATGTAAGTCTTGTCTAAGCTGTTCTTCTCTTTTTATTTCTTCCTTGATCTCTGGAGGAAATGAAATTGGACATTCTGTATATAGAAGGACAAGCAGTATAATGAAGAA